ATTTTGTTACTATTTTATCAAATAGTATGAGTTCTTACCTATAGCCTATAGGTACTACTACTACTCTTTATACGATATATGTTATACATTTATACATAGGTAGGTAGGTACCTACACGTAATATACTATATTATTATTATATTTATATCTTAACCTATTTACAAAAATCTGAAATATGATTTAGGTCATTTAGGATCATAAATCATAATAGCGTCGAATTAAAAATTTCCAAAACTGTATTATCCAGCCCAAGCAATATATATATAAGATGTAATCCGCTGGTAGTTTGAAATATTACAATAATTTATTGTTATACTCGCAAATTCTATTATACCGAGGGAAGTGGTATTCTGTGGTTACACTGTTGCGTAATATTATTTGGTCTAAACGAGTAACCAACATTTAAATAAGTTTTTTTTTAATTAGTCGAAATGGGTCCTGCCCGAAAGCAATGTATCATTGTAAAATTATATATAAGGGGTGACATTGTATTTTCAAAATTCTAAAATAACTACAATTCATCTAATATATGTATAAGAGTAAGTGCCAAATAAAACTTTCTTTGCCGTAAACGACGGTTAGTTTTATATATAAGTATAAGAAGAAAAATTAATAATAAAAAAAAATCATAACTTTTAGTTTCTGTGTAGTAAATGCATCCCCCAAACGGAAACACCGTCGGCGTCACCCTCACCACGACCAAAACGTGGTAAGATTTCCGTAACCAAATAAATTTTAAATGTCCGCCAGAAATTCCATTTTTATTTAATTTTTTATTTTCTCGTTGAATCACCGCCACCTAACTCGCTTTGCCACCGGTGTGCCCTCGGGTGGTGAAAATTTAATTAATAATTTATCGTTTACCGTTCATTTGGACGGCAGTTGGTGACAATAGCCTCGCCGACGCTGCACAGAGGTTCGCCTACCTATATAGGTTTAAACTGTTTAAAGTATATACAGTATACAAATATACATATATACATATATTATATTTAGTGAGGGCTCTCGCGCGCGATATTGTTTTTTAATAAACGATCACGCGTACCTCACATCCTCGCCCGCCCTCTGCAGAGTCGGGTAGGTAACGGAAATGAAAACAGTATAAAATATTTCCCTTTGTAAACGACGTGAATAAACGGTGATGGTGGGGGGGGGGGGGGGGGGGTGGCATTTTATGCAATACAGGATCAACGACCGACGGCAAAAGTATGATGGTTGCGCGACTGCGTAGGTATTGATGTGGTTGGAGGAGTCCCAGGGTGCAGGCGAATCGGTCGTAGCAAAAGTTAACTCTGACTGCTAACTGCGAAGTAAAGTGGGAAGTAATAAAGCGCTGGCGACACCTGCGACACTATTATAATGCTGCATCTACACGGTTAACCTACGCATAACAAATCACGGTGCAGGGTGCGGGGTAGGGGTGGGGGGCACCCATATTATTAATTTATTTTTCGCATGATGTTTTCTTTTTCGACCAACTCCCGCCGCCCACCGGCAAAAGCCGGCCGTCTACTTTTTTTTTTTGGTCACCGTCGTCGTTTCACATATCTTTCGTTAAAAGCCGATCGTAAATCACCGCACAGCGCGAGGACCCCGAACGAATAAAACACACGACGGACAACTGACGGGACACAATACACACACAATGTTGTTATTATTATTATTACCGTAGAATGGGGTAACTTTGATTTCGTGGGGTAACTTTGATAATATGATATTTTTATTCACCATAGTACCACGACAATTTAATATTTTTTTCATAAAATGGGGTAACTTAGATAACACATTACAAAATGCTGGTATCAAAGTTGCCCAAAACGTGGTGTAACTTTGATAGCATTTTAAAAAGATTAATATCTCAGAAGATAACATCAGAAATTAAAAAATTTAAATGTTAAACAATTGAGGATAATTAGCTATAACTAAGATTTAATTTTTGGAATTTTATAGTTAATACTACAGAAGTTATCCATAAAATAAAAAGTAAAATTGTAATAAAACGGTACAAATTTATCAAAGTTACCCCATTTTACTGTACCATATATATACAATATACATATATACTGCAGCAGACTCGCTGCGGTGTATTATCATAATATAATATATTCATAGGTATACTCGCGTAGTATTACTCGTATATACATACAATAAGGGACTGGATCGTTTACTGTATATAGTTGTGCTATTATATACCCGTGGTAACCCGCTATCGCTCAAAACCGCCGCGGTGTGATTTATGAACTCGTTTAGTACTATTACTGCGACGACCTTTGCGCGCGCACTGTCCGCGACCACGCAAAACATTATACATATATATTGTGTAATATAAATACGCGAGTGTATGATGTGTATATAGGTACACATATAGGAACGTGATCGGATACGTTCGGCCATTAAGTCGGTGACGATCAGGAGTAGTCGCGGGACTCGGGCGGGGCGGAGTGGGTACACGCGACATCTAAATCCTGTGCACACACTCGTGATATTATAAAGGTAGGTAGAGGTAGGCATGTGTGTGTTGGTGTATTATATACGTATATAAATATATAGCTGCACGAGCTACTTACGGTTTATATATGGTGTGGGTGGAGGGGGGACGACGTGGATGCCGCCGCCGGTGCAAGTGAAGACACCCCCACCTGCACCGTCTGCAGATCTCCTGGCCAAACTCTTGCTAAGGAGGTTTGTTATAAAAATCTACATAATATATTTATTTATATATATCCGGCGGGTGTCTCCGACTCGACTACGATCCCACCGCACGCCGTGGGAATCGGTTGATTTCGAGTGTGTGTACCATACTGATATATGTACGCCGTCATCATCATCATCGTGGGTAGACGGGCGAGTGCATATATAGGTGGGTGCGGGTAGTTAAATTTTGTGTCACGTACACGCTCACGAATGGTACGTGTCGACTGGTGCTGGTTTGTCGGGAGAGGGGGGATATGGGGGTTGGTAAAGAGTGTGCGTCGGTGTAGGTGAACGAAAAGGGGTTGAGGTATTCGACCGGGTTATGAGAGGGAAAAAACGAGAAGGGAAATCGCGTACGTTTACCGAATTCTATAATAATAATAATGGTGTGGGTACCTACCTATACGTATATATATTTTTGTAATCCGACACGAGCGCAACGGACTAAAACAAAAGCGATTTACTCCACGAGTGATACGAGTGATACGACTCGCGGGGCACCGACTGTGCGTCATAATATTTTTTAAAAAATGTAGGTACTTTCCTGAATGATTATGTGATTACATATTATTATTATTATTATTATTATTTGTTGGTGCGACAAAAGTTTAATCTGAATCACAATCGAACGAAAATCGGATAGAGGCAACGAAACGAAAATAGATTCACGCATCCGGAATCGGGGAATATCGTTTTGCATCCTGTTGGACAAAAAACGTACATATTTTTTGAATGACATATTATAATAGCAATATGCATGTATTATACATTTATACGAAAGTGTACAGACGCCACTTGCGTGTGTGCGTTAGGAACCCGATGGGTTAAATGTATTTACAAAACGTCCGGTCGAAATGGTAGTGTTATGTTCTATAGTCTATACGCGATGTGTGATATACGTTTCGCACTGGATTTTTTTTTTTAATTAGAGCCATAGTGATACTATATATATATACCATAGTACTTATTTATACTTGTTTGGTAACATTTTTTTTTTACGAGTGAAAAACTGATTTACATTCGACGCCCATCTTCTAAAAAATTCACGAGTTCAAAACAATTACACTCGAATTATTTTTAATTGAGGATGCATGGTTACCAGTAACGTGAAAAAATAAACATTAAGCAAGCTCATATATTTGTTAATGAGGAAATTATTTAAATATTTTTTCAACACTGACAATAAAAATATAATTTTTTCAAATACATTTAGTTTTGTATCGTAAATTGTAATAATATAGATATGGAACAAAAATTATAATTTAGGTACTCAATTTCAAAAATATTAAATCGGAATTGAATTTACTAAAATAAAATTACTAGGGAAATAAAATGTTTCATTCAAGGAACATAAAATATTCTTAAAGACGATTATTTATAGGAATTTAATTCAGAGATGTTTTGAATATTATGTTATGACTTAACAATATGTGTTTTTCAAGAAAACTTTTCTTTTGTTTCTGTCTTCTTCCTTTTAGTCAATGACAGCTTTTATTCTTATTTAATTTAAATAATAAAATAGTTTCTTATAATGAAAAGAAAAAACAGAACAGTTTTAAACTGTTTTAAAATGCTTTTGTTTCAACAGCTTAAGTTTATACAAGGAATAATTATAGTTAACTATATTTCAATAATGTTTTTAAATATGTTCCTCAACTAACACAACCACCCTTAATGGCTAAAGTATGAGAATTCAATATTCATTAGTCCATTACTAGGGTTCAAGAATTAAAGGACTAAAAATCGTCCAAATATGTGATTAAAAACCATTAAAATAAGCGAAAAGAGCAATCAAAATAATGATTACCCCCACATACCTACCCACCACTATTTAAAAACTTAAAAAAATTAAAAAATTACGATTTCCCTTGAAAATTTTCTATTTTTCTCCATAGAAGTACTGATGTTTTAAAATAATAGGTACTTGTTAGGTGCCTGGTTCTAATTATATATTTCTAAGACTACAAGAACCCATTAGTTTTTGTCAGTGGTTACCAAATGTGTCGTTTTAAAGTAGAAAATAAAATAAAATAAAAACAGAAAAACTATACCTTATTCAACATAAGAATTAAGAAGCGACCGATGCTGTGGCAAGTTTTTGTTAGTGATACCAGTCAGACATACTTTTCCATAACACTTACTAGGTTTTAAGTCAAACCAAAAAATAAGCAAATACTTGAGTTCCTTAAGTTCCTTTCCATAACCTCACACACATTATACCAAATGGGGAAAAAATGTTAGGAACAATAAAAATCAACAACATCGCTAGTATATAACATGGTAGTATTTTTAATAATTAGGTTTAATTAAATTATATTTAAACAACGAAAGCGAATTATTTTGAAATTTGGTAAATACTTTATGTCACCATCCCATGTGCGCAAATACAGTAATTGACTGGCTTCAAGTATATTTGGCACTTCTAAAAAATATTTGAAACAAATTAAATTAATTATAATAATCTATTACCATAAGTCATAACTCATAACTATTATCATGACATTCTTAAGATTATTAATATACCACTATACGACTATACAATAGTAAATAGTAGGTAGGTCATAAACACAGATTTCAAAAAAGCATTTAATACGGTCAACCACGAGCTACTTATTTATGAATCAGAAAGTCTTGGATACCCATTGCTTGGATGGTTCAAATCTTACATCACAGGCAGGAAGCAATTTGTAAGAGGGGCGGGATATCATCCTACTTAATTTACATACCGGCAAGCGTCCCTCAAGGAGTGCACCTAAGTCCTCTGCTGTTCTCTCTTTTTATAAATACTCTGTTTCAACACCTTAGCAAGTTTCTTCTCTTTGGAACTGACATCAAACTATTTTTGAAAGTTGGCTATACGGCTGATCAGGCTGTTCAACAGAGTGGGCTTAATCTATTTTCTATATGGGTAGAGTGTCTTGAACTCGTACTAAATCTTGACAAATATCACTCAATTACCGTCACTAAATCATGTTCACCCTTAAATAGAACATATTCCATCAATAGCTTACCACTTACACAAGTATCTCAAATTGAAGATCTCAGTATCTTTTATACGTCATCTCTTTTATTTAATCAACACTAAACAATTCACATCAGTGAATTGTCTTTATTCTCTCTACTTTAAATTGGTACAATCAATTTTTGAGTATGGGGTCGTGGTATGGCACCCATACCTAGCAAAACAGTGAAAACACCAAAATAAGCTAGAACAGGTGCAAAATCACTTCCTCACTTACTTTCGTAGGTTAGCATTCGTAGGTAAAACTAATGTGTAAGTCTTGTTTTTGTGGCCGCATATGGTCTCCAAAACCTTCATTTTATATGTTATCTTACGGAAATCAAATAGATCATGGGCTGGAGGACAAACATTTTTGGACAGGCCCACTGAATCTGATAAGAACCATTTTGACAAGTAGTAAATAAGCCTTACGAGGCGTTTAATCTGATAAGGATTCTCGGTGTCGGCTATTTATTATGTAGCAAATGTTTAGCTTGTATAAATATTAAATAAACTATATAATATATTCTAAAATGATACATTTCTTATTGAAATAAGTACTTAAATAGCTAAATTAATTTTTCAAGGAATTTTAAAGATTGTAGAAGAATGAGTTAAATATGATTGTATGCTAAGTCCTTGCCAGATTCTACAAGAATACAAAGAAAAATTTATTTGCGACATAAGCCCAATAATAATAAATTGATAACAAAAGAATAATATTTTTAATCACATAAAGATGCATACATTTTCACCAACAGAATCCTCATGAAATAATATTTACTTTTTTGTTCAGTTCCATTAATGTGTTCCATTACACAAAAAATGATTCACATTCAAAATATATACTAAATTAAATACTAAATAGTATAATTTTGGTCACCAATATAGATTTTAAACCTTTACGATTCACTTATTTATTACTTTTAAACAATAACACATTCCAGAGAAATATTCTTGAATTCAGGTATTTTATACACTCACCGATTCCAGCAGTATTATACTCTTCTCTTTCTCGTTCAATTGTGTGTCTAATGACATCTTCCCGACTAGCAAATCGTCGATTGCCCTTATCTTTATGTCTTGCTTTGATTATACTAGCTTCATGTTCAAAACGATTAAGATACCTAAAGTAAAAATTATTCCATATAAACATTGTATTAATCTTACTAAAAAATAGAAAAAAGCAAGAAAAAAAAATAAATTCATTTTTCTAAGTATACCAAAAATTATGAGTATTTTTTACTTCTTTTTATTACTAATTATAGCAGATTGAAAAACCATTTCAGTACAAAAAGGGTATAAATTAGAGATTCAATTTTTATTTAATTACATTTTTTGGGTGGGGGAGGGGCAGGGTGAATTCTAGGCAATGTAAAATTTGGCAGTTAATCTTTATTCTTAATGAAACTACTTAAAGATTAAAAACATTACATGTGTACCTGATATTCATACATTTTTAATTTTTTGAATGTAATAAAATATTATCGGTTATGTGAAATATTATGTAAAAATATAGCTGTTAAACATAGCTTAATTATAACTAATACATAATTTAAAATAATTACACATTTTTAACTGCATGTTAACCACTAACATAATCATGCGCTAATATTAATAGTATTTAGTTGCATTGCAAAGAATAAAATACCAACTAAATATAAATACAATGAGTATAATAAATCATTTTTAATTATTCTTCCAAACAATTATATTCTTACTAATATTATAAATAATAAATACATACTTTTCAATTAAAGATGAGAGAGTATCCTGAGTATATTGCTCAATTGTGTTATCAATATTATCTCTGAACCAAATTAATTTTTCACATAATGAACTTGGTTTTGCTAAATTAACATACTTCTTTTTGTCCCGAAATGCAATCCTAAAAACACGACATTCAATGTTATTTTGCAATAATTCAATCAATTATATTACGAAGGATAACATTTCCTAAACATACTTATTAACCTATTTACTAAATTAAGTAATTCTTTAAATAATACTAGATAATAGATATAACGCTATAATTTTAAATGTTAAGTGACTTAAATAACATAAATTATGTTGCGGATATTATGCACTTAATTATTTTTAAATATATTTTCTTTTCAATACCTAATGTTAAAAACATTTAAAAATATATTCAAGATATTACCTATAATACCTATGAATTATAATATATATATTTGGTATATATAATTCAATAAACTATGAATTTAATTTTTTGTATCTTACTTGTGTTTAGATTTAATCAATTGCTTTGTCTTTCTACTGTTTGGATGATTTGCATTTAGTACAGTGGTTTTTGGTTTACCCTAAAATTTACAATAACAATAATTTAAGATTATAATCAGTACAAATAACAAAAATTACAATATTGTTGAAATACCTAATGTACTATATCAAAATTACACTGTAAAAAATAATTTACCATGATTATATGTAGACAGTAGAAATGTAAAATCTGTATACTGCTTCAAGCTTTAATGGTAACACGATTAGGTATAACTGTATAAGTATGAAGAATTCACTAAAATGTATTTTGACATTCACTATTACTTTACTGGATTACATGCAATTTACAAAATACAAATTAACTAAATACAACACTGAACACAGTATTATACACATCGCCTATCAGTTTCCCAGTAAGTTGTTACTCGCTGTTAACTTGTAGATCACACGTGATTTTGTTTGTATTTGATAACGAGTTTATATTGTCATGATAACAGGTATCATATTCAACCATAGATATTATAGACCTGCAAGGGCCGTTCCGGTCCATCAAAAATCCTCAACTCGCAAGCCCGCAAGCCGGCCTGGTCTAAAAAATATTATGAAAAAAAAGCCCAGGTCCAGCCCGAAAACAATGCTAAGCTCATAAGAAGCCCGGTCTGGTCCAACAATTTTTTTCTCAAGCCCGACCCGACATATTTTTTTTTAAGGCACTATGGGTGTACTAGCAATATTACCTACAACAGTACACTGGTGTTTGTAGCAACTGGCAATCTGAATTCTTTAGTCAGACCCACGGTTATCTACACAGGTTGGCGCACGCCACTATGATGCTAATGCAGACGTGTGGTCTATGCGGTGACCGTAGTGAACTATTAGCGCTAGTAGTCAGTGGGCCTACGTTTACATTTGTATGTACTGGGAAATCGAAGATTTTTTATTCAAATCGTTAATATCGTCCAAACGACTAAAAATACGAATTAAAAACATTACACAATTATTGTAGACCGTGAAAAGGTGATAAGAACACAACCGACACCTAACCTGGAGATAACATGATAACTGCACGAAAAAGACGAACAAAATAATTTTCTAATTTCGACAATATTGTTCTGTAATCTGTATGACTGTATGTCTTTTTGTCATTACTTAATTGGTAGTAGGTAGTTTTATTGCGATGGTGGCTAAGTGTTGTATAGTTGGATGTACTTCAGGCTACAAAAGCAACACAGAAAAGGTACAAAAAAATTAGTTAATTTTATAACAATTAGTTAGTTATTATATTCAATATTCAGTAGTATTTAAGAAATATTAAAATTAAGTAAAATTAAATTATCTAAAGATAAAATGTAAAGTTATGTTTTAATATAGCTTTAAATTTAGTTCATAAGTTGAAATAAATATAAATTATGTAAGTTGGTATATTATAGTATATGTATTCCTTTATTTATGTATTTAGCATATGTTGGTGAGTTGAATATCAGTAAATCATTGGACAGTGATCATAATGCATCATCCAAAGCTGAATTAACAAATATATTACCTTTTTTTCATTATTTTTTTTTTTGGTTTTCAGGCTACAAGAATCTTTACTGGGATGAAAAAACAAAAATAAAATTATTATAAACTGTAAATTAGTTAGGTATAAAATTAGTTATTAAGTATTAACCAACTACTAAATAGGTTTTATTACATAAAGAATAAGTAATGAACAAAGTAATAATAACATATTATTATGTTTATTTGATATTTTATTTTACAGATATTTTATAAATAAAATAAATTATAACTGGGTAAGAAAGACTTGTAGTCATTAATTATTATTTGCTGATGTCAGCCATTTAGAGAGTTTTTCGAAGTATAAGTCAAGTGTTGGGGGAATTATTTTTTTATGTAATTAAATTACATTAGATACTAATTAAGTACTCAGCTTTCAAATATAGTAATTAAAAAATTATAATTTATAATCACGATTAGAATTATTTCATCACGAGTGAACTCGTCCAGCCGGTAACCAGTTAGGCCTTGTGACTACTAGCGCTTTAGTTCACTGCGTTCGCCGCATCGACCATCGATAACACGCCGTGCGCCAACCTGTGTAGATAACCGTGGTCAGACCCAATGATTTTTTTATAAATATTCCAAGTTACTGTTTCTATTTTGTCTTAGTAATAAGGACCAATGGAGCAAATAGCTAAATATTATTTTCGTAGTGTGTTGTTGTTTTATTTTTAATTAAAATATTATTATTATGTTATATGGAAAAACATTGACACATTTTTTATATTATGTTGAACACAATTACCTACATATTATAGATGAGTAGGTTACAATTGTATTATTAAATAATAGAGGCAGTCGACAGTTGGAAAGGACGCTGAAGAGAAATCGTAAATATAGGTACAGGTGGTAATAAACATAATAGGTATTGATTAAATTAGGACTGCCGAACGTCATTTTTTAAGATACTCGATATCTTAGATTAAAATATAAAGGTACGACGGTTTTACAAAGATATTATATCATCAATAAACTTGATTATTGTATGAGAATCTGCGCTAATCTTCTTGGTTCTTGATGTTTGACAGTGGCGTATACCTATATACAATCGAATAACTGATGGGAACTATTCCTTCGAATTTTTTTAGTAATATACAAACATTTTGCAGGGAAATTAGCCACTAAATAATTTACTGTAGAAAACTGGGGTTCTCATTTGAGAAAGAGAAGTTTGAATCGCCACAGGAGCACATGACACTACTTAAGTAGTAACATTGTTCTATGATATAGTAGCTACGAAAAATCTACAAGACTTTTAAAATATTATGATCTCTCAGTGTATTTAAAAATTCAAAAAGTCAGAATTTGAATAAATTTATTATTAATGGAAACAATGGGGAAGAACATGCTTGATAATAATTAATAACCCTATAATATACATTTATAATTTGGTGACACCATCCATTTTAAGCTCAAATAATGGTCTAGGGGGGATAAGCCCCTAAATATCTATTAGAGACATGACGTAAAAATATATACCTACCATAAGAAAGATGTTTCTTGGATTTCAACAAAATAACATAACCCCTCTCGGCCGCTCTTCTAAATGTGGAGTCTATTTGCATCTACGAACGTTTATAATGAGTTTATTCATGTCATTAATCGATAAATCAATTTTATTATCAAAAATAAATAATACTCTTATTTCAACAAAACATATGAATAGTGAAATACTATGAATTCTATAAAGAAATTTTAGGTTCGTAGTTTTGTACTAATTAATGTCTCTTTCATATTCATATTTCATTATTATTGCATAATATAGAAATTAAGTATTGGAAACGTGATTTTTATTCATAAACATTGAAGTTTATTTTTAAGGAAAAAAATATATAAAAATATTGAGTGGGTTAAGTCGTAAGTAATTACTAATTTACTGCTCAAAAAAATATGATAGATTTTAATTTCTAGATTATTTTGAGTGCTGCTTTATTATCTAGATGATTATTGACATTTTTACTATTTTTAAGAACATATTTTATTGATTTAAATTTTAGTCATATTAATTAATTAAAAAAATCGAGTAAGTGGAAATCGCTCTGCTGTACAGTGGTTACAAGTGGGTCACTGCAATGGATGATGTTCATTTGAATTCAATGTTATAAAATAATTTTATACGAAAAACCATTCTGACCGAAGGTTGGCCTACAATATTACTATAAGTATATTATTTTATGATATTATTGTGATTAAAGTAATTTATTTTACTATTAGGCAGTAGGCTTTAGTACGACAGCGTAGGTTAAATTCATTTTTGCCAAAAAATGTCATTGTATATATGTAATATAATAATATACTCTAAAAGTTTCATGCACCTACGAATAATATTTTTAAATTACAACAAATCAACTAAAATCGTTATTCTTGGTTTTAATATGTAATTTGGTCAAAATTTGAACTTATATAGGTAATGTTTGTAAAAAATAACTGATTATATATTTTTTAGATTTTTTGGTTACAGTATTAACTATTTATGAGAAAAATTGTTTCAAATTTTCAATTCTTAGCTATAAAAGTTGAAAATTGTATACAATTTTAACTACTAAGTCAACTACTAATTTCAACTTAAAATATTTATAAAAAAAAATCGTGTCTGGATTTTTGTTTTTTTTTTATTCATGGTACAGCATCAACTACTATAGGTTATTAGCTTATTGCTTAATAGCTTATAACAAAAAAAAAAATATCAGTTACTTATAAATAATACAATGGTATCCTTAGAGTAAGTTGTACATATCAATACATTTTATACATGTGATAATTTTGTTGGTGTTGTCTTGGATCGGGTTAAGGTCTTCGAAAAGGTTTTGGCTCTTTATTATTTCTCAATTGCTTTTATATCAATGTATGCGAAACTTTGTATTCAATTTTCAAGATTTTTGACCAAAAAAAAAAATTTGATTTAAAATGTCTATAAATAACTCAAAATTAGTCAAAACACACAATATCATTGTAAAATAATTACATTCATCGATCCACTTGGATCTAAAATTTAAATCCAAATAATAAAATATGTATTAAATAAATATTATTAAGGGGGCTCCAGTCGGTCGTGTTTTTGACACGTTCCGGAAAAACTGTGCAGTCCGCCTGCGCAGTCCGACCTCTCTGGCAAACGGGATCGTGTATGGCCAGCTTTGAGCTTAATATAGGCAATTAACATGAGGACATTAAAATAACTTGTAAGTGTGTGTTAAGTAAATGAACATTAGTGTGTGTGAGTTTAATCTGTAATCGTTATCGGTCAATATTTCCTAGAAATGTAATGAATTATAACAGTAGGCTCCTCATAATACCGCCCGATTTATAGGTCGTTATTTATATTCGTCGGCCATTAACTTACGTACGCGCAGGCATTGACGGAGTTTTAAATTATGATCAACTTTTTTAAATTTAAAATAAGCGGTTTTTAAACCAATAAGCTAGACAAAACTAGAGGAATTGGGTTTGACGGATTTTATTTTTGAAAACGGATTATGATTGATTAACAAGTTTACTAGGTTATGCCAGAGGCGATTTTTAATATTCCAATTATTGTTTGTGTCATGATGAATACTATAAATACAAAAGTAGCATATTATTTATTCTTGGATATCACGACTAAAAAAAAAATATTCAAAATCGCCTCTGGCATAACCT